CCGTCGGTAATTTTGTACATCCCCAACATGAGTGGCAACAATAGCTTGTTTCTTCATTGCGCGCGCTCCTTCTCTGATTGTGGGCAAATTGCTCTCAATTGAAAGAAAATCAAGGAAAGCTACTTAATGCGTTCAGTTGCTCAGCTCAGTATAATTTCTTCAGGTCTGTATAAAAAAAGCATATGGTTTGACGAACGTAGTCGAGCGGGCAAGGGAAATACAGCAACTGTTGAGTATAATTGTTCACATTGTACGCACGGGGGTGTGTTATGTACGTCACCACTTTACGGGCGAAGCACTGTTCTGATTGGACACACCCTCCCCATCTCCATTTTGTGTGAAATCGCATATAAGGTTTATGTTGCTGATCTGTAAAACTGTTTCTTTTGTCTTCGCAAAACGGATATCGAATATTTAAAACATTATCATCGATAAGTTAATCATTATAGAGGAATTTATCAAATAAGAATCAGGTAGTTCAGCGTGTGCATTAAAGCTGAAGATCATTGCTTTTCTTTCTTTCTTTCTTTCTTTCTTTCTTTCTTTCTTTCTTTCTTTCTTTCTTTCTTTCTTTCTTTCTTTCTTTCTTTCTTTCTTAGTGCTATGTATTTTATGCGATTGCACGTTAAACATCTCTAAGTTATTCGTTCTTTGGTTTCCTAAAAAGCTTGCATAAATAACGTGCAGTGGCATTTTTAATCGGACAAATTATTTTTTATAGATAAGCGCTTGTATTGTACTGAAATAATGCATATTTAAAATGGTTAAATTAGATTGTATGCTGTGATGTTAAATACTTTGTTGAAGGTGGTTGTCTTCCTGTGGGCTTCAAATGTGAACACACAATTACAATTAAAGTATACATTTGTATGACACAGAAACGTCTTATTTTGCAAGTAGATCATACAAATGTTAACTTTAAAGATTAACTTTACTTCATTAGGAGAAACTGGCTTACACCAAATAGCATACTGAATATTTAGCTACAAGTTATCATATGAACTATTATTTATTTGAAAAGCATTTCAGTCAAACATTTTTATAACCCACGTTTGTGTCAAGAGATGTATGTTTAAAAAAAGACATCAATTAAAATGGGCTAAAACAACAACATTTTAAATATGTATTTAAGAAATTAAGGGTGAAAACTAATTGAAAGAATGAATTATAAACTTTAAAAAACTTATTACAAATCCAGTTAATGTGCAAAATAAAATATAAACTTAAATTGTAGACCTAATTAATATCTAAGAAACAAAAGAGTTTCAGGTATTGAAAACAGCATGTTATAGATACTGTTGGGATTTTCTACATTGTGGCTTATGCTTAGATTAATAAAGCTGGATTTACAGGGTTTTACAAACCCAGATTATATTGTGTTCTTGCTAAGACAGCAGAGAGGGTCTCATAACATTTAAGTAGCATCATGGGAAATGAGAACCGGTCTTTTTAAAATAATAATAATGTTATCCAGTTTTTAAATAGTCTATATATACCTGGTTTCTTAAACTGAAATTGCTGAGAAATTTTGTTAAAGAAAAAAATTAATTAGGAAAGAAAACATTTTATAAAACTGTTTGCATGTACTGTACTTAAAAATGTACTGTTCCTTTAGCTAATTTATTCAGAACTTTGTATTCTAATGTGTTCTAAAACTCTGAATAAAATTTTATCTATCTTTAAAATTTTATCTTTTAATATTTTAGGTATCCAGTGTAATAATGACAAAAGTTGACAGCAGCAATTTTATGACTTTTTGAAACATTTGTGTGCTCACATTTGCACAGTATTTTTTAATTAACATTTTATTTATTTACCATAGAAAAAGTCTATGTATAACTGCACAGTTTAAAAGGTTGTTGTAATTGAATTCATCTAATTAAATATCTTTATATTTTTTTCAACTTTAAATTGTTCAGACAAATTTACAAAGATTTATATGAAACGATTACACGACAGTTTAAAAAAAAAACTAAAACGACAGTTTTTTTTCTTTTTTAATGTGTAACTTTCATTACATTATACATAACTTATAATAAAACTAGTAAAGTTATGAAAGAATAAAAGATTGTAAGTCCTCCACAAGAACTGCATATATATATATATATATATATATATATATATATATATATATATATATATATATATATATATATATATATATATATATATAAGCATGGATGTCAAAGGAAAAAAATTGTATATAAGTATTGAGACAAACCAGTAATAAAGTCTATACCCTTGTACTGTAAGACCTTTTCTGAAAAAACATGAGGTGGTCATGTGGGTTAGACAAATATGCATAACAATCTGCCCTTCCTGTAGTAGGGAAAAAAATATTTCGGTCTTAAGAAACTTTGAGGCTGATTTTATTACACAATAATTATACAATAAAATCCAGATTTCTACCCTAGACTGCATTTCCACAATAGAACTTTTAGTTTTCGTAGTTAACATTTGTTTTCTTTTTTAATTCAAAATTACTGATTAAAAAAGCATTTCCATCACTTATATACATAATTAACTATATGATTTTTCAGCTTTACAGTCTTCCATTTCCATGCGTAGGGTTGACCTTGCCTCTGGTGTGTAATATGCAAATGTGGCTTTCCAAATATTAATTTGTTTAAATATATGTACTAAATTACATAAATAGGCATGTGATTTGATTATACAACCTTGGTAATATACTTATATTCTCTGTCTATATACATGTACAGTTGATGTCAGAAATATTAACCTCCTTTGAATTTTGTAAATATATAAAATGCAGAGTTATAATGCTGTAATAATGTTTATAGCATGTACTCTGTTCATTGAGCCATTGTTGCTCCTTGCAGAACTTTCTTCCCATCAATCTTTCTTGTTTATTACAGCCTCTTTGGTACATGAAATGTGATACAGAATAATTGATCATACATTCGAACATACATTATAATATCTTGAAAGGGGTTTTAAGTAAATATTAAGTTATATTAAGCATAGCACTTAGGTTGAATGTTCACCAATATCCCACCAAACTCCAAATTCCTTGTTTTCCTGGATGAGCTCCATGGCTGTGGTCCCCCTCACCCAGACAAGAGATGCCCTACCCCCACAGCAGCCATTCCTCACCCCCCTCACAGTGTGTGGTCAGGTCACAATTTCAAATCTCAGAGCCCCTCTTAAACTCACAGGGGGTTGTATTGACATGCCAATTCCTTCACAGGACCACAAAGTGCACCCCCCTTGCAACTGTTTCTGTTTACTAGGCGTAACAAGCCAATGTAAAGAAATTCATATCCCAGGCATTGCAGGACATGACAACTTAATGCAGTTTTGAACTGCTGTTGATGCTATTGATAGAATATGGGGTACACGTTAATTTGATCTAGTTACTTTAAATCTGTGTAAGACAGGGGCCGTCAGATCACTGATCCTGATAGTTGACAGTGGTTCTGTTAGCTGGTGTTGCCACTGTGAGATCAGTGTGAAGTCTGTGCTGCTGATTATGCAATCTGTTTACATTCAGACTGAATTACGCATGAATATCCTTAAGATGGGACAAAGCGTGCGTATTTATGAATTGTACTGAATGCACGTAAAAAACAAGGTCAGTGATCGGCACTCCCTGCACAACAGCCTATATTTACATTACGAGTGGACGTCGAGATGCGTGCGCGCGCATCAGTGCATACTTTATTTTTTAATAAAAAATTATTTCTCTCATACAACTACGTTTCTTGTCAGCTCATCCTTAAATGAAGACACCCTTGCCCCCAAGTTTTGTTTCGTTGCTGAATGAGCACATCATGCGTGATTTAAACATGCACAAAGCTCATGAATACTGTGAAATGGGGTTTAAATGGCACGCGTTCTCATTTTCACTGAACATGTTTGCCATAATACATTTAGTAAGGCGGTAGTTCTGGGCAACTGGATTGTTCCTATGAGATGTGAACCACCTCAGTAATGGACGGGAACGGGAAGCCATTTTCTCACAGAGAGCCCGTAGTATCGCCACGTGTACAATTTAAAAGCCACGTAACGAAAATTTCAGGTGTATATATATGCACATTATCTGTGTTTAACTCGTTTGAATTGGGGTTTGTGGTCGAATTGTTTTCAGGCGTGAGTGCATTGAAAACCAGCCATGAAACATCACACACTGTATGTACACACAATAGGCAATGCAACAGTTGCTCCACTTCCTGTTGGTAGGCGGTATCCTCAACACTAGGCCCTGCTGTCTCAATAACACCCCCCATTTTGAGTTGTTGGTTCTTCTCCTGACTCGACATGGAGGTGAGCACCGACGAATTTCGACATCTTCGTCGAAACATGCTACTGTTGTTCCGAAGAACGCAATGGCGGAGCTGACCTCGTAAAGTAAAACTGGATTCTGCGTACGCGCACGCCCAACTCCCCAAGAGCGGAGACATAAAGGGATACAGTGTTTCAATAAAACCTTACTTTGTAAATGTGTGTTGCTGCAACTTATTCTATCAACCTCGGAAACATTTTCCATGAACTTCGGTTGTAAAACTACTCTAATTAAATATTTTACTTCACCGCCCTAATCGTGACCCACAGCTAACAATGTCACGCTTTAGTTTTAGTCTTTGAAATGCCTGTTATGACCATCTTTTGCCATTTGCGTATGGCTGCAGACCACTAGGCGAGTAGGTTAACTTCCAAACCAACTGCACATCACTCAGGGGGTTATATATACACTATATAAAATGTAAAAATGCGTGGACTGGCCTTGCAAATTGATAATGCGAATATTCTCGTGAACTAAGCGATAAACGATCAAAAGCAAACATGATTTGAACCACATACGACTGGAGCCTGTGTGGGCTAGCATAAATGTATGCATGCCTAGCATATACGTTAAAAATGTACAGAGAATGTTCCTGTCTTTCCGAGCATAACCAGTTTGAGAGCGAGAGCGCGCGCGCACGAGAGCGGAGGACCAGCCCCTTTCTCTAGCTACTCTGAGACCACGTGGTTTCTTCTTTGCAAACAAAAAAAAAAATTAGTAAATTCGACTCGGTTTAGAGGCGGTGCCATCGCCAAGCGGTAGGATCTGTGTGACAGTGCAGGGTACAGCTTTAGGTTGAGGGGCAGCGAGAGGAAAGAATTTCTCCCGATCCCGCTATATACTCGTACCACTATTCCATCGTAACAAACATCAGCTTAATTCAAACTGATACCATTTCTACACCGTGGTGGGAATTCGCGAAGGTTGCTACAGTGAAGAATATTTACCACTCGCCTGCAGGACTTAACCAGACTACAACGTTAGGCTACTGTTAGTCGAACTTTCCCCTTTTTTATTTTGGATTGTCTTGCAGTTAGATTTTTTCCCCACCTCGTTTTTAATTTCAACCGGTTGACATCTACATGATTTTGTAATCTGTGGTTGTCTTGGTTCTTTTTCAGAATTAAAAACGTTTTGGCGAAAAGTTTTGTTTTATTTCTATTTTTGGGGAGCGGTAATTTTTTTCCACGATGAACAAGCTATACATTGGAAATCTCAATGAAAAGGTGACCGCAGAAGACTTGGTTAAAACCTTTGAAGATTACAAGATTCCATACTCTGGACAGTTTCTCATGAAAACTGGCTATGCGTTTGTTGATTGCCCGGACGACCAATGGGCAATGAAAGCGATTGAAACATTTTCTGGTGAGTACATTGATTTTAATAGGCCTTTGCTTACCGGTTTGCTTATTCGCCGGGTTTCTTTAATAACTTACTCTGGTTAACCCCCATGAGCGTTTTGGTTGTTGATGATATTTTATGGTGTATTGTGAAAGTAAATAAATGCTTCTACGTTTTACCATTCAAGTCAGAGCAATGCAAGCCTCTATATAGTGTGCAAAGGTACCTGGAATAGTTAACTTTTAATAGCAGATGGTTTGCAAACACTGAAAGCATTCATGCACACATCAACCACGGCTTTACTTTCTTTGCTTTTACATGTTTAAAACGTGCACCCTAAATGGCTACATACTTTTAACATCAGCCTGTAAACTGTACGTGTATAGTTCAAAACTCAATCTTTAGGTTTAGTCCAACCTACCAGGCACAGCTATACAATCAGGTCTCACCCCTCCCCCTTTTGGATAATAGGCCAGTGGAGCTAAAATGAAACATGTTTTGTGAAGCCCCTATTAAGTTAACGGGCACATTTCTGGGGTATACCCTGCTGTCTTTAAACGTATGCTACATTGTATCATTCTTATTTTCTGACTTCAACAATGCAATTTCACTGCATCTGTCCCACTGACCACAAAATATGTCTCTCCTCGGTTCTCCACATATGTAGCATGTGACGTGTGCTCTATATAGCACGAAGGTCGCCATGCCGATAAGGATTCAGTTAAAACTATCCACCACATGAAGTCACGGTCAAGATTAATTCATCTTCAGCTGTTCGTTTTATGGCTATATCCCCCATACTTCTCAAATAAACACGAACAAATAATACACATATGGCTTCTGTCATACAGTTGACGTAAATAGCTTGTGTGGTGCTGAGCAGTGAACCCTAAACGCTTCCTAAAAATTTTATCATTTAATTAATGGCCTTCTGAAATTTAGTAGTTGAAATACTTTTTATTAACACCCACCCTTTGCGAATCCACAGCCCAAAAGCTCGTTTAGGCTATTTGCTAATTAGTTTATGCTGAAAAAAATAGTGTTTTCGTGACTAATTGGAGCATATCAAGCTAAACCTATTGAGGTGCACGTTTAATCCATGAATGCATTTTAAGATTTAAAATGGACTTAGATTATGGGGGCCACTTAAGTGTGTGGGCTATTTTGTAAGGGTATTAAAAATATAATTTATCTCCTTTTTCCAGGTAAAGTGGAACTTCACGGCAAACGCATTGAGGTCGAACATTCTGTCCCTAAGAAGCAGAGGTATTTGCTTTCTCTTGAATAGTTCAACAATTGTTTGCTTACTGTGCATAAAAGCTGAATTTGTATATGTCGTGGCGGTGGTACAAATATGTGTTCTGTGCCACCAGGATCTCTCCGTGTGCTTAAATTGTGGATTTGTTTAGGTTGAAACAGTTGTGTTGCTACTTTTATGAGTCCTGCTCCGTAAATACGAATATTCTTTGTTTCTTTCCACGTGATGGATGTCATAGTGCTTGTGCTTGGATGTTCAAGAGGTATATGATTGTAGCAGTTCACCACGTGTTGTTACATTCATAGTTACTACAGCGCTATATAGCACTCCTCTCCTACGTTAGGCATATGCTTGCATTTTTGTCAATCGTACAACGACGCTAGTCGTGTCATTTTAATCACTTGTTCCCTGTTGATTAGGCCTTGGCCTACTGCAAGGCCTGGGCCTCGGTGCTTGGCTCGTTTAAACAGCTCATGCAACACAGATTTAGTTTTCTAGACCGCTGTGGTTTTGAAAGCTGCTTTTACGTGGGAATATCATTGCTGTTCGTTTATTTGTGCTGATATTAAAGCGTAAACTAAAGCCAACGGCGCTTCAGGTCAGAACTGGAAAAAAACAAAGCGTAGCAAATATATACACACACAGACACGTATATATGACTGTTTCTGCAGTTTTGAAGATTTAATGTTTAAATGGGCGTTTAGGCGCATTTCTGACGACAATTAGGACATATGAGTGCATTTAAATGTCGCAGAGTATAAGTTTGGCTGTTTAATATTAAATTTTTCTTCAAAAATGCATTCATTTGTGCTCTGGGAGTTTGCATATAGCGCTAAAGACTGGAACAAAAAGGGTCTCCCCCTTCGTCCCCACCCATCTCAACTACTTACTACTTGTTACCTTTTTACACCCTGAACGCATTTTCTCGCAAGTATTTGATCTACACCTGTGAACCTCCTGGCGTGTAATGTTTTAAAACTTAACATAATGTGAAGATTCTTTATAATGAAACGATATACTTTATACATTTTAATTTAAAACCTGTGTTAAGGACACAGTTTCTGATTTTTCCATTATTATAAGCCACCGCTTTGTTACCAGTAAAAAATGGGTGTTATTTGTGTAGCCTACGTCTGGTTTACGCGCTTTAGCCATAAATCTGTCCTTATAAAGAAAACGTATGCTTTGTGTACTATATGCGCTCGCTCACTTATGTATGTATGACTATATATATATATATATATATATATATAATGTGCTTTTGAAATGAATATGCTGATAGAGAGATAAAGTTTATTTAATGTATATGCTATAGTCTATGATTTAAATAGACCTTGATGGATTACGTTGTGTGATTAGTGTTGGGAGGCCAGTGTTACACTCATAGAATGACACGTGGTCGCCATCAGTGTGAAGAGTAACCAACGTCAGCAATTGAGAAAATGGCGTACAATGTAGCCCTCTGTCGAAGGCTCCATTTGAAAGCACTCTGGCATTAACATGAATGGGTGCAAATACATATTTACACATTCAATTGATGCCGCCATGTAAACAGTGTACTAATCCGCGAACTAATCCTCAGTTTAATTGCAAGGTGAGGTATTTTATATAAAAAGTACATTTTGCTCGTAATCTGACTTGTTTTGCTGTTTAATGTTTACACGTAAGAGACTTTTTTTCCTCTACGTGTGTGCGTATGATGATCAGTATAGTGTGACGCTCTGTGTCCTTATGAGTTAAAAATTCCAAGTAACCTTACTTTAATCATACAAAACGCAAACACACTTATAAATGTATAATAATTGTTAATTAGAATGGAACTGTTACACGTCGCCATTTTGTTACACATCTTTTTGTGGTGCTGGCCTGTTAGATGTATGCATTTAAAAATGCATTTTGTCCCATGCTTATGTGTTTGTGGGATTATTAGATTTGGTTAGTTAATTTTTTTTGTGTGTGTATGAAGACGTTCTCATTTGCTACAAGTTTCATTTGTTGGTCAGTGTGAATGCAGAATGAGAAACATGAATTGGGGTGGGGTGGGTTGACAGAGCAGCTCCCTTCCTATCGTGCACACCCCTTGTGTTCAGTAACATGAAGTCTGTCTTATGCAAGTAAATTCAGAAATGTATTTATGCTGAAAGCATCTTATTTGTTGAAAATAAATAAATAAAAATAATTATCAAGGCTTCCAGTAGCTGATTTCCCCGAGCATTTTATTTGGTTGCTCAAAGTTAGATGCAGGTAAGATAATTACACATATTAAACTTCAGTTTTACCAAGAAAGACTACAGTTCATAGAGGATCTAGTGAGTAAGCCATAATGTTTTGTGCATAGAGCTGTGTGGGCGGCTCCATGTCTCACGCCTAGAGTTTCTCCCTGCTTTATGTAATGTTGCACTGGTGTGACGGGGCCATTTATAGTGTCTTGATGGGCCACTTTTGAAGTTCTTGGGCACAAGAGATTCAGAGACAAGGGGAAGAGCCACACCTTTATGACAATACCGGGTGTAAAAAGTGTAACAATGGCCCTTCCCCCTTCTTCCAGATGCTACTCTGCACACTCTCTTCCCCTTGTAAGCACCTTCCATGATCCAGAAAGCAACATGCTTTTATTTTTGCTTCTCCTGCAAAATATTCAGATTATCAGATCAGCGATGGCATATTCTTTGTGTACTAAACAATATAGCAGGGACGTAGTGCAGGAGGCCATTGGGGTGCAGTTTTATATAAAAGCAGTATAGAATTGAGCTGAATTTTTTTTCACAAGCTGTCATTAAGACATACTTTATCAAACTTAAAGTAGAGTAACAGTGATAAGGTGAATCATTTGCATAAGAGCAATCTATATGTGTTCATTTCCCATCATTCATATTAAGATATAATGTGAAAGTTGTAGAATGGTAACTATCTTCAGGTTTATTGATACTGAAGGATAGGAAAGACCTGTTGATTGATGTTCATGCAATATTAGTAGGCTCTCCATCTTGAGATGTTTTTGTCTCTTCATATTCCACATTACAACCATTCACTTAGACTGTCTTGACTTTTCCTCCAAATATTGGAGAAAGCAAGAGATCCTCATTTACCACGACCCATGCTTCCTGTAATTAAATTAAGGCAAAATAACTTTTTCAAGACAACAAATGGATTGTCAGATGTCTTGCAATTAAAGCGTGCTGGAAATAGCCTGTTTTATGTGGTTGGTTTTTTCAAGATACAAAGCAGTGCTGCTCGTATCCAACAAATATCTTTGGTTACTTTGACTGGAATAAAAATCCTACAGTAGGAAGGATACAGCAGGTCTTCTCTCTTTGAAATAACAGCAGTTTTGTATAAGCAAAAATAGATGCATTTAAAGACGCTACATCTCACCAGACATTTGCAAACTGGATACAGCGAGACTGCAATGAAAAAAACAGCTTGGGCTTTGAATGCAATCACAGCGTTTCACTGGGTAAATAAACGAGCGTGTTGCGATTGCATGCTCAGGCTGACTGAAGCTACACTTGCTCTGTCCTCTTTCTCACTGGCTCCCTCCCTCCTTTTCTCTCTGTCCTTTTCTTTCCATCCCTGCTTGTGATCGTAGTACTACAGAAGGCAGGGGGGAGGGGTTTTTACGGAGAAGGAGGTGCGACCAATCGGCGGCCAGGAACACCTGTGTGCAGTTTCTCAGAAGCCGTTGACGGTGCTGCACGCGAGGCAACCTCGTTCTCATTCTTCCTCACTCTCTCTCCCAGCAGCATGCTTGCCTGCGTGCTGTTTTTTCCCCTTTTCTTTCTCTTGCTTGCACTTTTGCTCTGTCTGTGTCTTTCTTTTGCTCTTTTCCTCCCTTTGTCCTTCGGTATTGCATATGCTGTCTGTCTTTCTGCTGCAAGACATGCATTTTTTTTATTGGTTCCCAGATTTGCAGGGTAGCAGAGCATGCATGCAGGCAGTTTGGTCATATAACATGACGTCCTGCTCGTAGGGCTTGCCTGTGCAGGAAGGAGGAGGAGAGGAGGAAAGAAGAGAGGAGATAAGAGGAGAGAAGGGGGGTGGGGATTGAGGAGGGAATGCACAGCAGCACTTCCTTGTGGGCTTCCCTTTTTCTGCCATTACAGAGAGCGGTTCTCTCAAAAAAGACGCTTTTTTGAAAAGGGAGCACGAGAGCTGTAAAACAAGGGGACAAAGGCAAAAATGCTCCTGGCACGAAGACATGCTGAAAATGTGAAGGATAAGTGTGTGCTGCCCCTTTAAGAGCGCCCCTCCCATTTTAACCCCTTACCAATGTGTTGTCTTCTCTCCCCCTTTCTCTATTTTGAACCATCTGTGCTGTTTTTTTGTTTTTTTTATTGAAAAGGAGCAAAGGTCCGTTCACTTCTTATTTTGGGGTATTTAATATATTAAGCACATTTACACCCAAGGGCTTTTTAGTCAAAAATGAGCTAAAGGGGTTTAAATAAGTGACAAAAAATGTAGTGTTTATACATGAACTGACTTCTCTTAATAAGCATTCTTAATAAGAAGTATAGCTTCTGTTTTAAAAGAGGATTTGGATTGTGTTGCTAAGGTGGAAAGTGGCGTTTAAGAAATAAGTTTTCTTCACTATCCACTTAAAGCATTTTTGAGATGAGGCTTCAGCAATTTTCTTTTAAAGATTATTTATATATAACCACAGTCTTGCTGTCACAAGGCAGTGTGAACAGGTGGATGGGACTTGGCTTAACGTTCATTGGTTGCTGCCATTTTGGCAGCATGGCTGTCCAAGTTGCTGTGGGATGGGTTTCAGGTTCTTGTCTGGTTCAAGTTAATTCATTTTTTACAGCATCTATAAAATCTAATAATAATAATAATTTTAGAAAAGATTAGGTAGATTTGCATTTTTAAATTGAAGACACTGGGAAAAAACTCTGGTAGGCTCTAAATAATTAATAATTGATGATAATTCCTAATTGTTTATTATTATTATTATTAGTAGTAGTAGTAGTAGTAGTAGTAGTGGTGGTAGTAGTGGTGAGTTTTTGGA